AGAGGGCTGCTAAAACTTCAACGTGGTCTTTCCACGGCTTGGCCAGGCATGGGAAGGTGACGAAGATTCATGAGGTGCAATAGTATGGACTGTCTCCTCCTCTCGTCGTCACACCACTACTCCTAGGGAAATATGGAGAGGCATGGGGATTGCCACGTTCCCTAAAGTCTATGGTTATGTGACTGGGCCCATTGGAATTCTTCCTCCAGGAGGTTCTTGGGCTTTGGCAAATCGTTGCTCCAAAGTCCAGACTTTGGGGATTCGGATCTCTGATGGTTTTATCCTTTGAGGGACCATTACTTTTCCCTCAATATCTTCTTCCATATATGTACCTTCGAATCTGATGGCCATCATGGGTGCTGGGGTACAAGTGTTGATAGCTCGATACCTTATTTTCCAAGTATATCGAACCCCTATGTTTTAGTCTGCAGTCGGAGTACCTGGTTTTAGTGCTGGTTGATGAGGGAAATGGTAAAGTTTGGGTAGATGAAGAAAAATATCCTGCCTCTGGCTAAGGAGGCCTTGACTGCATCAAAGTGAGTATGCTTGCCATTGAGCACATACACATGGATGAAGGTGTTGAGGTTTTCTCGGTTGAGTGGGGTGACACCACCTCGAGGCTGCCAATATGAAGGAATCTCATACTTCTCTCCATAAATTGTCTCAACTTATGGGGTTTTAAGAAAGAGATGGAGAAGGATTGTTCTGAGTTTTGGGATACCTATAGACACCTTCTACTTCCACGTTATCAATGGATTTGAAGCCAAGGGCTAGGAGCAGCCCTTTAGGTTTATAGATGTCTGATGTTTTCATCTTTCCAGGTTGTTTACATTTTGTCCCTCAATTATTCATTCTTAGAGGCTAAACCCCTTGCCACGAGGTGCTGGGTTCCCCCCCTTCTTCTAGATCCCAACTGTAGTGCCTAATTGCAGAGAAAGAGAAGGGAACAAATTTCAACTTTTTTTCACTCATTCTGGAATAGGCAGGACAACAATACTAGAGCTGAATGCTTATTTTTTGCTGGTAGCTGTGCCACTTTTTTTTGCAAGATGCTTCTAAAGAGTTCGCAAGATATTTTTAAAGTAGCGAAGTTCTAGTGTTGGGACAATGGAATATGAAATGTACAGAGTTATCTTTATATACCACAGTCTATCTATGTACACAATCCTATGTACTTGTCATGGGATAGGAAATGCTTAAGCCCATAAATAACCCCCTAAAAATGGGAAAATCCTACCTAAAAAGAGCCCTAAACGCTCTGATACCAAGTGAAGTCCAGAAAAATGAGAACCCAACTCTAAACCTTGAAAATACCATGGGTGTTGGAGGCAGTTCGAGTTGCCTGAATCGCCCAAACAACAATATTATTAAGTGCTTTAAGTGTTTTGGAATCGGTCACATATCATCTCAGTGCCCAAATAGAAAAACAATTTTGTGAGCCACTGTGAAAGAAGAGCCTATAGTAACACTTGGTGACCATGGGGTGGCTTTGGTGATCCAACACAAGATGATTACATCCTGCATAGTAGACGAGGCATACTGGTTGTGAACTAATACTCTTCACATGCGATGCATTGCCTCTGGGAAGGTTTTGTAATCTTATCATTGATGGGAGGGAGTTGCGAAAATATTTTTTCTCAGGAGATGGTGGGCTATCTGAAATTGAAGACGGAAAGCCTGCCAAAGCCATAAAAGACAGCTTGGCTTAAGAAAGGAAATGAGGTAATAGTTCCTAAATGGTGGCTGGTTTCTTTTTTTATTGGAAAGCACTACAAATGTGAGTTATGGGGCGATTTCATGCCTATGGATGTATGTCATTTATTATTGGGCAGACCATGGCAATATGACCGGCGCACCGTACATGATGGGTTTAATAACACTTATTCCTTTGTTGTGGGTGGGGGGGGGGTGTTTGTAGTAAATGTGGTTTTTAGGTCCATCTAAGAAGGAAAGTACCTCCAAATCAGACAAGGGGTGTACTAACCTTCTTTCTTTGGCCGAGCTTATGGAGGGATTGGAGGAGTCCAGTATATTGTATGCAGTGGTTTGAGTGGAGAGAGCAGCCTGTTAGTTCCAAGGGCATTAAAGTTGACCAAAAGAATGTAGCAGCCATTAGGGATTGACCTACTCCTACTAATTGCATGACATTCGCAGTTTCATGGGTTGGCTCTTCTACAAGGGGTTTAGCAAGGACTTCAGTTCGATGATAGCACGTCACAGATTGCATAAAGAAGGATGCATTTATGTGGATTGATGAGGCCGATTTTCCAGTTAGTGAAGCAGAAGATGACTGAGACGCTTGTTTTGGCTCTTCCAACCTTTGATAGAGTCTTCGAGCTAGATTGTGATGCTTAGAATGTCAGAATTGGTGCAATGTTTAAGTCAAAAGGGGTGTCCTATTTCCTATTTCCATCTTTGGTAGAAGTTAACTGGCACCCTGCGGCGATATTCTACATATGACATGGAGTTTTATGCTATTATTCAAGCCAAAGGCCTTGGCACCATTATCTAACCCAAAAGGAGTTTATTTTGTTTTCAGATCGTGAAGCGCTGAAATATAAATTCATGGGCAACATACACTATAAATCAGCGACGTGCTTGGTGGCTAGCCTATTTGCAGAAGTTTACTTTTCTCATTCGGCATATGGCAGGCAATCAAAACAGAGGGGCAAATGCTTTGAGTAGATGACAACTTTGTTGACTACCATAACACCTACTGATGTCGACTTTAAGGAAATATGGGTTCAATGTCATTATAGAGTTAGTGGGAATTGCCTTATGTAAGTTGAATTTCTCTTCAAACGAAACCATCTTTGTATACCCATAGGTTCCCTGAGAGAGATTGTTCTAGCAGGTCGTCATGGAGGACGTCTTGGCAGATATTTTGGTCGAGGCAAAACCATGGCATGGGTGGAATTAGGTATTACTAGCCAAAATTGAAGATAGATGTTACGCGGTTTGTAAAGAGATGCCGTACTTGTCAGCTGGTTAAAGGACAACGACAAAATATGGGCTTTGTTCTCCACTTCCTACTCCTAATGCAATTTGGGAGGATGTTAGTCATGTTGTGAATTCCACAGACTCAACCATGTATAGATTCGATACTTGTGGTAGTGAATAGGTTCTTGAAAATGGCTCATTTTATAGCCTGCAAGAAGACCTTGGATGCCATGCATGTTGCTAATCTATGCTTCAGAGAGGTAGTGAGGTGCATTGTGTTCTGAAGACGTTAACTTAAGATCGGAATACTCAGTTTCTCAGTTGTTTTTTGGGAACTTTGTAGAAGAAATTGGGTACTTGATTACAAGGCAATAGTGCCTATCACCCACAGACAGATGGGCAAACTAAAGTGGTAAGTCGTGCTCTTGAAAATCTGCTGAGAAGTATGCGAGGAAAAAGAAGAAACAGTTGGATCTAGCGCTTCCTCAAGCCGAGTTTGCCTATAACAGTGCTCATTGCAGGTCAACTAGTACGAGTCTATTCGAAGTGGTATATGTGAAGAACCCTACCCATTCGCCTGACTTGGTTCTTATCCAGAGTAAGTGCAAGGCTCACACTACTGTTGAGTAGTTGGTTGAGCATATGAAAGGAGTTCATGAGCAGGTGCGTGCTAACTTAGAGGCCAACACAATTACATATATCTCAAGGAGTTTAATGTGGGAGATTGGGTGGTGAACCTCTGGAAGGAAAGGCATCCAGCAGGCAAATACAACAAGTTGAATGACGATGGGCAATAGTGCTTACAAGGCAAATACAACGAGTTGAATGACAATGGGCAATAGTGCTTACAAGGAAAGGACCATTTAAGATTTTGAAGAAGATGGACAATAGTGCTTACAAGGTTGTTTTGCTTTCACATATGGGGATTTCAGATGTCTTTAACATTGTTGACCTGTCCCAGTGTGTTGGGCCAGAGATTGATGAAGATAAAGGTTCTAACTCGAGAGTGAGTTTCCTCAACTTGGGGAGAATGACGATGCGAAAGTGCATCAAGTGGACAGAATGACGAGTATCTTATATGGGAGTGGCAGATTCCTGCTTCCTCTCGCATATATTTGGAGCATGTGAAACCTTGGATGCCCACTAAGAATTGCAAGGAGTAAGTGTTGCTTGGGATGACGTTCTAGTTATATTGAGTGTTGTTTTCAGTTATTTTTTTGTTAGTCTGAATTGCTTTTATTTTCTAGACCAGTTGGGGACTTACAATGCATAGAAGTATACAATGAGACCATTTACCTTTGATGCAAGGTGGTCACAGTTAATCTTGACTATTGGATGTGAAATTGAGTGGTTGCATTTGTTCCATTGACCAATCTCAAAGTTCAAACGAAATTTTCTTGAAATTTGTAACACACCCAAGCTATCAAATTTCATATTGGATGATCATAAGTAATTGTAACCTCCTTGTACCATAGGTAAATGGTCTTATTGTATACAATCCCGTTATTTATAGTCAAGGTCATTTACATCTGAAGTCCCTTAAGTTAGGACTTTTGAGTCATTTTATTTATTATATGGGCAGTTAATGTCTTTGAACATTAAATAATAATATTTAAGAGGTGCATGGGGTTATGAGCAACCATTCACGTTTTAAGAGGTGCATGGGGTTATGAGCAACCATTCACGTGACTTTTCAAGTAGAAAAAGAGAGAGAAAGCTTAGGCTCTTGGGAGCCATAGTTGGGCTTGAAGGAGAAATCCTAGGGTTGTTCTATTTGTTGCTTATGCTTGGCCTGAAATTTACTGATTTTACCATTCTGTATCAATTTTCCTACATCACACACGCACATACATGCACATGCACAGAACTTGTTTGTCTATTTCCCACATCTTTTCTATTACTTGATTCGCATTTTTAATGATTTGTAGATAATCAAGGTTTGTCTTGTCAACTTTTGGCTCTAATTTCTGTTTCTATTTTTTTTTATCACTTCACTCTGAGCATGTTCTATGTCTTTGTCTTGATTTAATATACTGGTACTAATATTGAAAGTTCTCCAGATTGTACATGGTTCAGAAAGGGGAGAGTCTGCTGCATTGCTTTTGTCCCCAAGTGGACCTACATTTTCAGGTTTATCTTCTTTTGATCCGACTCGAAATGGCAGCCTGTTCACCTTTTTTCTCACTGCACCTATACAGGCATTCTGCAAATTGGTTGGTCTCTCCAACTCCAATCTTGAGATGGTAAGTCATGCAATAAAGAATTTCCTTTTACCCTTTATTCTTTAAAAGTGATAAACTTCATTAAATGAAACAAGATTACACTTGACCAAATTATCTTCTTTGCTTTGTTTGATATATTATTTGTGCTTTAGCAGGATGTGTACAGAAAGGCAGAAGGCATACTTTCTTCTGCTTTCTCTGTGTGGGAAGTGATTCTCAGCAAATCAGACAATCTAGAGATTGTTTGGGCTCGAGTTTTACCTGACCCATTTCTGAGGCGACTAATTATCAGGTATATCCCCAACTTGGTAGTAACAGTGATCCCTGAGTTCTTGCGTGAGTCCTTGTGCTGCTGTTTTCATTAATAGTACAGCAGCAGATTATAGTTGATTAGAAAAAGAAAAAAAAAAAAAAAAAAACAGAGAATGAATCATTTTATGTGATGATGTTATTCACTTTAGAACAGAGGAAAAGTTTGATGAATGCTCTCCTTTGCAAGATTTTTGCTTTAACAACTTATCGCACTTTTGGCCACAAGTTATCAGCTTCATTTTACTTTGCCAAACAGACTGAAATCTTTGGCTTCAACCATCAGTGAACCCAAAAAGTCTGGAGACGGACAAGGTTTTACTTGTCCTATGTACCAACCATGGCTCCTTTTCCTTTTCAATACAGCATAGTGCAAAACGATCTGGACAAGAAAAGGTGTTTTTTGTTGCATGTAAATCTTAATCTTGAGTTCCAAGTACAGGGGTCAATGGTGCAGGGCATTAGGAGAAGGATGTGAGATTTGTGCTATGGCCTACTCATTTTATGCATGGGCTTCCAGTTCATTTATGGGCAACCTCTCCTTTATTATTCTCCTTCATGGATGTCGGATTAAATCCTATAGTAGACTGTGCACATAGTGTATGGATTAGAAAGGAAAAAGATATGGGATTATATACAATGAGATCATTTACCTTTGGTATAGGGAGGTTACAATTATTTGTAACCATCCGATGTGAAATTTGATAGCTTGGACGTGTCACAAAGTTCAAGAAAATTTCTTTTGAACTTTGAGCTTGGTCAATAAAATAAATGCAGCCACCCAATTTCACATCCAATGGTTAATATTATTTGTGATCACCTTGTACCAAAGGTAAATGGTCTCATTATATACTTTCCTAAAAGAAATAACTATTTCTGCTGGTTTTGGCATCGTTACTCTTGTTGCATTCACTTCATAAAATATTTTGTGCATCCATCTCTCATTATTCCTTGATCTACAAGTTGTCTTTGATCATCATCATCATCAATATAGCCTTTTGCCAATTAATTGGGATCGGCTACACGAATCCTGGTCCGTCATTCTGCTCTATTAAAGGCCATACCCTCAGTGACGTCATAAGTCTCCATATATTTTCGGACTACTTGCAACCACATCCTTTTGGGCCTACCCCTTGCCCTCTTCAATCCTTCCACTTGAAATAACTCGCACCTCCTAACAGGTGTTGTACTTGGCTGGCACCACACATGGTTAGCCCACCCAAGTCTATTCTCTTTTATCTTATCACCTATTAGTATGGTCACCTAAATTTTCCCAAATGGATTCATTTTGAATTCCATCCCTTCTTGTCTTGTCACTCATCCATCTCAGCATCCTCATCTCTGCTACACTCATTCTACAGACATATTGTTTTTTGTCTACTCAACATTCCGTCCCTTGTAGCAAAGTTGGTCTCACAGCTATCCTATAGAACTTGCCCTTCAACTTCATTGGTATGCAACAATCACATAGAATTCCAGTTGCACATCTCTAATTCACCCACCTAACTCTAATTTTGTGCGTGACAACTTCTTCAATCTCTCCATTTTCCTGGATTATCAACCCAAGATATCGAAAATGCAGTTTTTTTTGTACTTCACGGCCATCAATCTTAACTACTTCCTTGTCTACTTCTATTATTACTAAACTTGCATTCCATATACCCTCTCTTAGTACGGTTAATTTTAAAACCTTTGGATTCTAGGGCATCCCTCCAAAGTTCTGACTTTGTGTTGATGTTGTTTTGGGTCTCATTAATCAAAACTGTCATCTGTGAACAACATGCACTACGTTACCTCATCCTGTAAGTACCAAGTCGTCGATAATTAGGACAAACTGTATGGGCTCAATGCTGACCCTTGATGTAGACCTATTGTCAGTAAAAACTCACTTGTCTCTCCACTAGTTGTTCGTATATTAGTTAGTGCTCCATCGTACATATCTATCACCAAGTCGATGTAGTGTTTGGAGACTCATTACTTTTCCAACACCAGCCAAATCACATATCAAGGTACTCTATTATAAGCTTTCTCTATATTAATAAAGACCATGTGGAGGTCTTTTCTCTTCGCCCTGAACTTCTCAATCAGTTGTCTAAGTAGGCAAATAGCCTCAGTTGTCGACCTTCCTAGTATAAAACCAAATTGGTTTTCAAATACATTCGTTTCATGCCTTAGTCATTGCTTAATCAGTCTCTCTCAAAGCTTCATAGTGTTGCTCTTAAGCTTGATCCCCTCGATAGTTCGCACAATTCTATATGTCTCCTTTGTTCTTGTAAATAGGTATTAGGTACCACAATACATTTCCTCCATTCACTTCGCCATTTTTTTTGTTCTCAACACCTTGTTGAACAGTTTCGTCAGTCAGTCAATGTCAATCTCCCTCATGCACTTCCAAACCTCTATCGGGATACCATCTGGTCCTAAAACATTTCCTATCTTCATCCTTTTCAAAGCTTCTTTCACTTCTGGCATCCTAATCTTTTGAATGTATCTAATCTCCACCTTCATTTGTAGCAACAGTTCCTTCTGCCGCTATGTTCCTATTGAGTTTGTCGTTTAGTAATTTTTGAAAATAAACTCGCCATGTTTCGTTGACCTCGTCATCTTTCACCAAAACCTTTTGATCCTCTCTCTTAATGCATTTAATATGGTTTAGATCCCTATATATTTTTTCTTTTATTTTTACTAATTTAAAGATATCTTTTTCACCTTCTCTTGTTCCCAGTTTATTATATAGATTATTATATGCCTTAAGTTTAGCTTTACTTACTATTTGTTTAGTGTTTTTCTTAGCATTTTTATACTTTTTTAAGTTTTGTTCGTTTCTATTGCACTGCCAAGTTTTGTAACATGATTGTTTTTCGCTAATAGCCTTCTGAACCTCATCACTCCGCCATCAAGTTTCCTTATTGGACTTTTTTTTCCCTTCTAGATTCTCCTAAAACTTCTTTTGCCACTTTCTTGATCCAGTCAACCATCTCATTACAAGTTGTCTTAGATATTGTATTTAATTTGTTTTAAATTATAGTATTTTTCATCCTAGGGGTTAGAGGGACATGTCAACTGGGTAGGAATGGATCCCTTGATGTCATGTTGTGGATTTGCTACTTTGACCAACCAAGCCAAGGGACCCATCCCTCAACTAGTGAATTTAAATTTGATCTTGAAATTTTTATGAGACCACTATTTGATTTATTTTAGGATAATTTGTGGATTCATTATTGTACTGGAAGAGCTACTGTTCCGAAATAGCCTAATCATATGGCTCCTCATCTCAGGTTCATATTTTGTCGGACTGTTTTAGCTCTCTATGCACCATGTGGAAAGAATCGTTATTTACCAGAATGCCAGCCTAATCTTCCTGCTTCTGTATCTCCCACTTGTGCTACTTCGCAATCTACCCTCCACCGGTTAGCAAGCTGCCTTGGTGTGGTTGACCAATTTTCATTCACATGTTCGTTAAAAGGCACTGCTCAAATCACAAAAGCGATTTCTGAGATCGAAGAAGTGTGTCGTGAGAAGGGTACAGTTTGTTAATATATGGCATCGTTGCATTTGATGGGCTAAAAGCTATTTATCTACTGATCATCAGTGTCAATGATTTGGGGTTGCAAGTCGGTTTGCATAGCAGTTGAGATTTTTTTAATGTTCCAACTGCTGTACAGCATCCAACGGTGAGCTCTTCAAGTTTCTGTTGGCCCCTTCTGGGTAAAATGGCTGGTTTGATTGATGAAAAGTTGTGAAATAAGTGATCTTCTTTTGGTTTTTATTCTTTATGTTTTATTATTTTCATCATGTAGTCTGCGCTACATTTTTGTGTATAAGATGAAAAGATTAGCCGCATGTGTAAATGAATAAGAGTTAGGGTATTTTGAGGTGTCGTTTCGATACCTGGAAATACATTTCGAGAAATGTTGTTTTTGTGGAGATGGCTGGCGTTTGGATTGAAATTTTGGGACAGAAAAGTATTTCTATTTTCCTCATTTCCAGCCTTTTACCTTCAGAATTTGATTTCCTACCTAATTTCCCTGTTACGGATACGTCCACTTTATAAAATACAATTAATTTTGCCAAAACACCCCCACGAATTAGAGAGAGAAACTATATCAAATTTTAAGTTTTAGAGAGTCTAAAATTATTTTAGGAATGAATTTATCAAAGAGAGTATCTCAGAACTTGAATTTTTTTTTTAAGTTTTGGAGAGTATATCAAAATTTTTGAAAGAGTCCAATTTTGAGAATATGACCACTTTAATGCCCTAAGATTACAGAAAGAGTCCAATTTCGGACTCAATCTATTTCTTAAGAAAATATCCCGGTGGTTCCAGAGTCGAGCACAAAATTATGGATTGAAAAAAACATTCAGAATACTTTTTAAGTTATTTCCGAATACAGAGCATGTCTTTTAATGGTACCGAGGTGTTTGTGTTTCCTTTTTATGGGTCTGCTCAATGAATTTCTCGTGGATGATCATCACCTTACAGCTTAGTATAACTACACATACAAGCATATATACTTGTTTTTCTTTGTTTGGGCTCGTTAGACTTTTATTTCTTGTTATCATGCAAAAATGATGTGCAAGTATGTATGGTTCCGGACAAAATTAATGAGTCTGTCTATAGTAGACAGGCTACAAATATCAGAAACAAATAACAGAGTGTTTTGAGACTCCTTGGCCAGTGAATCAGCTTCTGCAATCTGCATTCATTTCTCTTCAGAAATCATGAATACAGCTTGGAACGAATTCATCAAAACGCCAACAAGATGTATGGGCAGTCACCTTGAACACAAGCCCATCGAAAAATGTTGCTTGAATCTCCCTAAAAAACCAGAACAATATATATCGCGATTTCTGGAACAACTACCTAAGAGCACGCTAATCTTTCCAAAGTACAAACCATGCCTTCAAAAACATGATTTACCTGAGCAGATCGTTAAGAAAAACGTAGGTTTTTGAACGGTTGGTGCGTTGGCATCTCATTGTTAACCGCAGTATAGATCCAACATGACCTTATCATCAACCTCTTCAAATGATGAAGATATTGTTGCTACATAAGCATGGCAAGGGCTTATAAAGGTCAGGAAAGTCGTTCAATTAGGACAGAGTTCTTCTAATATTTGGGTTCATCGATAACTGAATAATGGAGTAAAGTGAGCCTCAAGCGCATGACAGAACAGGCAGGTGCTATCGAACAAAAGGTATGTGTTTTTTTCTCCTCTTCCTATGACAAATCAAGCTTATTAATAGCCAAAAATCTGAGTATTTTTAACAGGGTATGATGCCATTGAGCTCGGAGGTTCGATTTATGAATGAAGCCTGCTGAAATTTTCGCATTGGTTGAACTTCCTGCAGTTTTGATGTTCATTTTATGAGTGAGGATAGCATCTGTGTGATTCTTTTCACAATTGGTTGAGATGTCCTCCAATTTCTAAGCATTTTGCTTGCCAAGACTCTTGAGCATGAACTCTTATCGTGGTCTGAAGTATACATTTCAAGTAAGTGATTTGTCAATGGTTCCATAGAGACTTGGTTCAGTATTTCGCAAAGGCAAAGTTTGTTTCACTTTCAGTGAATTCTCAGTAACAGCAGCTCTCTGATGTAAACATAAAAGTATTTTAAGTTGTCTTAGGTAAGAAATATGGAAATTGGAAGTTGTGGTTGAAAACTTAATTGATAGGGAAAGGTCTATTGGATGTGGATAATATAGAACATACCCTATACCAACTGCTTAAGAAATGCTCGTATACAGAGCTGTGAGCATATAAGCAAGGCAATGGCTCCGTTGTTGAGCTTTCTCTAAGAGTGAAAAATCTGCGATCACTTACAAGGATAGGCATTAAGATAGAGAAGCACTTGTTGAAAGAAAAAAATTATAGTCTATTAGTGATTCAAAAAAGCGGAAGACCATAATGAGGCATTGTTTACTAACTCTCAAGGAGGTCTTGCGTTAGAGGGAGATATTGTATTTCGGGTAGGCCCCAAAATAACAAAGAATCCCCAGATACTACTTAACAATAATGAGCAGAAGTAAACCTCGTAGAACAAAGAAAGAACCACGTTGTACTTGTTGGGAAATTGGACATTGTTATCACAACCTAGGAAATGCAGCTGCAAGAAAAATAATAGGAAGGCACTGTATATCAATGACACGTATGAGAGCAAAGACCAACCGTTCATAGATTCAACATGTTTGACACTAGGAGTCAATCTCTTCACCACCAAAGAACCGTTGTCTGACATGCTAGAGTCATGATATGGGATAAAACCAGTTTAGAAGTGGAAGACGGAGGAAATGTTACATGTTTTCCTCAATTGTGTCAATATCAAAAGCGATTTTGACTCCTATGTATGAGAATGGAAAGAGAAAACTAACATAGATGAAGAACGAAAATTCGACCTTAATTTTATAACAGCTAAAGGCCGTAGTATTGATCAATGGGTGAGAGAGGAGTTTCATTAGCATAAACTACTTGTTTCATTTACATCAGACCTATATACGGTATCGAACACCCTTGATTTTTGGGTCTCAAAGCTTATAAAGACCTTATTGATTTTTCCAAAATGCCACTAGAAATGGGACACTTGGAATTTGAATTTAAAATACCATTTGAATTTTTAATTGGCCTCCAATATACTTTTCTTTTTCCAGGAACCACCTTTGATGTGTTACGATAATGAATACTCATTGGCCGATCACCATCAATTATAGAGTGCTTTCGCGGTATCCTTTTTGGGTAACTCACAGGGAGGTGGGATGTGAGAGTGGTTTGATTGGATTTGCACACAACTAGATGTTTTTAGACAAAGAAAGGTATAGGGCTTTTCAATACATGGGGACATTGCAAGCCAAAGTGAAAGGATGCAGCCGATTGCAGAACCACCAAAACCAGATGGAGTTTGAGGAAAGATGAGGCTTTTTTTTAGTCCATGCAAACGAGCGCGCGACACATTTTCGAAAATGACTGATGACAATCATCATGAAGCTTAAACCTAAATTTTCAAATCTTTCTATAGTGATGTTTCATTTTTTTGGAAAAAGTATACGAAAAAGTATACCAGTAAGTGATCCTCAAAAGTCTGTGGGAAAAAGTTGTTCTAACGCTAAAAAATCTTTCAACTGATTATTTCAACCTCAATTGCATGAATATTAAAAAGATGATGATTTCAAGTCTAAAAACGGTTCATCTTGTAACTTGTACATCTTGTAACATATTATCCACACCGTTCACTTTTTAAATCTTCAAGTGTTTACAAATCCATTTGATCTTATCTCAACCTCAATTGCATGAATATTTAAAAGATGATGATTTCAAGTCAAAAAACGGTTATCTTGTCACTTGTTCATCTTGTAACATATTATCCACACCGTTCACTTTTTAAATCTTCAAGTGTTTACAAATCCATTTGATCTGTACCAATCTTTAGAGCTTTAAAATCATAACAAGAAGTGGAGATAGTTGTCACGCAATAATAGGAAGTACCAATCTTTAGAGCTTTAAAATAATAAAGATAGTTTCCAGAATATCAGGAATTCCCAACACCAAAACTAGATCTTGGAGCCCAACATTATCGAGTCAAAGTTCATCAAATTCCCATGGCTTTTCGCCAATTGTAAATGAAATCATTTGAAATTCAAAAATTTATATTGCCTTTCGCGGAAATAAAGAAGAACGAAACAAGTAATGAATTCTTATTTATACCTAACTGCTACTTTTGGGTCAATTTCTTGGCCTTCATTTAATGTAAGGGATGATTGTATTCTTGAAATAGCAATTGTAATACCAACATACAGTGAGTGATAGGGTACTCGTAGTTTCCTTTCTGACATTGACGGGATGTTAAATCCACCTTCAAATTAATCATAGTTCTTGGCCTGCCAAGGGATAGTAAGGGCCAAGAAATATCTTGTTCTAATCATTAACAGTAAATTTTCACTAAAGAAGTAGATCCAAAGTCACAATAGCAAATCTGGGGCTTCTTTAAGGTAGAATAGCATTTTGTTTGTTCATCTAAGATTCAATTCTTACTCATTTTCTTGTTTTTTAAGCCCAATTTTCAAAGGATTCAAGCTTTGTATTCCACATGGAGGTTTTTAAAGATTTAAATCTCATGCTCGCCTACCAACATAGCCCTATAGGATTACAATAAGATACGCATTATATATACAAAATATACATATGATACATTCTATTATATATTGAGCACCAATACTACACTCCCACAAGAGCACACTGGGATCTACCCCATCACTCAAAAAACCTATTATAAAAAAAAATTAGTCTAAAATTTTGACCACCATATAAGAATTACTAAATGATTCTAGCTCCTAAAAAATTAGACGGCCTCTATTCAATCTTGAGCCATTAATTCTTTTAGTACGTAGAGAGCCAATTCCTCGATTTCTTTTTTTAATGAGACTAGTACATAGGAGGTAGAAATAACATTCTCAAAATTCAAGATCCAAACAGTATCCCTATTATGTGTTTGGCATGCAAGTTTTTTGTCCCCGTATCTTCACACATTGTCGAAGAAGTACAAGCTTTTCATCCTACTGCGTACTTAACACTTTGATATATACTAACCACGCAACACTGGTGTGAACACAACTCTGCCAACCTGACTTCCCAAAAATATGTAACATAAAAACAAGCACAGAATTGTGCATAAAAGGGTACAACTAAAAGAAATATTACACTTAATACACAAATTTTTGAGTAGCATAATTGTGATAAATTTTAATTATCATCCAAACATGCATTTACTGTGGCACACTCGGTATTTATTCCAAGGTACAACAATGAATGCACTTTGCCAACAATACTGGGCTGCAGCTGGGCCGCAGCCCAAAATCTTTTTCAGACCAGGTTGAGCCTAGAGCCTGGCTCAAATGCCTTCATTGTCATCTGAACTCGTTCATCAATCTTG